AGGGACATCTCATGGGGCCCCCTACTGTCCCGGGCCCTCGGGCAGTGCCCGAGTTTCCAAATGGTCAGTCCGCCCCTGGGGGTAAAGGTATAATGTGAACCATGCATAGGTATATCACACACTTACTACTGCCATTCTTAGAATGTCCCAAGGGTTGAGAAAGAGCCTTAGAGAAAATTAACCTTCAGGACTAAGAATGGCAGCAGTAAGTGTGTGATATACATATGCATGGTTCACATGATACCTTTACCCACATTCTGTTAACCTAGTTTCTCTCTCATTGACACTACGGCCTTCCTGCTTGCTACTTTGCTTCTTGCAATACACACTATGTGCCTGCACATGTGGATGGATCTATCCATAAAAATGTAGGCTGAACTACATTAAAAGGCATATGTACATACATATTGGAAAAGGATCCATTCTAATCTACCTAACTCTGCCCATATACTACAGCATATATGGACTTTCAAATGTATATATGCTTCTGGCTGGCCTAGGCTTGAGATTACTGCCGCTGCTTCTGTTTATTGCTTTTTGCAAGGCTATACTAGTGCACAATGGACTTTCACTTTGCTTGACAGTTCTAAGGACTTTCAGCCTACTTTTCAAGACTCTCACATTTATATTTATATCATATTTACCATTTGCATATTATTTATTGCATGTATTTTTTAGCTGAGGTGTATTTATTAATGGCTTGTAATTGGCATCTATTTGGAATTCACTAGCGCTGGTGACGGCTTATGCTTTTTATGCAACTGACAACTGCATGAGCGCGGCAATCCGGATTACTTTATTTTAACTGTATTTTATTAGGTAGAAACGTAGTACTGTTCAAAATTGGAAGATATCATCTTTTTTATGCCATTATTAATAAAGATTTGTCACCTTGTTGCACATAAGCCACTCTGCTTGGGTGATTATGTACCTGCTTTAGCAGTCTATGTTCATCACAGCTGCTCTGTTCTTTTTGATTTAGCTTTTTGAGGTTGGAACCCATACCTCTATATTTGGGAGTCAGAGAGTTATTCAGTAGGTTACCCCGCCTTGTTGTGGTGGAATTTTTTTATGTTCTAAGGTTAGCCATAAACCTATCCCCTACACAACGGCTTAAAAAGAACTATAAAATCAGCCTTTTTAGATGTACAGTATATCCCAGTAAATATTGGATTTATGAAACAAGCGAAATTCCTTTTTCTGGAAATATTTTTTTTATTTATGAGGTCCCTTAGGAGACACTATGTAACAACAAATACAAAACATCAATCATGTCTAGTGACCTGAAAACATTGTATGGCCTGATCTAATGTTGTCACCACTGACAAACTATGTTTATCAATACCAGATAGGAACAAAACCTGTTTCAGTAAGCGAACCGCTTATTGAAAACAGATTTGTAAGCAGACCACACCTCAGTCTGGGACCGTCTGTTTAGCTCAGGGGAAAAAAGTTGAACTTCTGCGCTTTTCTTAATTGGGAGGTAAAAAGTGTTATTTTGTCTTCAATCAGTGGGAACTTTTGTTTTATTTAATAACATTCAGCTTGTACAAAGAAGAGAAACCACCATTATCTCAACAAAACTAAACAGTGTCTCAAGCTGTGCTACACAGCTATTAATCTGTGGTTATGTATTCACAAGTTTGTGGGTTTGAAGCATGTTAAACCAGAGCAGCACCAGAAGACTGCTGGCAAGACTATTAATTCAGTAACTCAAAATAATAAGAAAAATAAATTACACTAAATTTTTACATAAAATGTTTTTTTAATTTGAATTGAACCTGTGCTTTGCCTATATCAAGCCAATACGTTTATAGGACGGGTCCAACCTTCTTGTATTTCCCATCTTCTCTTTTCACATTGCCAGGTCACTTGAGAAATACCTGGTATTTTCATGTATGGGGAGAAAACAGCAATGCTCTCTGCCCCCTCACAATGCAGTGCTCGGTAACACTGGCCAGGATTGAGCACCATCACTTGTGGCTGAGTGGAACATGCGTTGGAGTTTGTAGATTTCCAGTGCCATTCATGTCACCTTTCCCACACGGTGGAGATCAACAAATTAAGGTGCATGCCCTAATGTGAACCTGTTCCTATGCCCCAGTATATAAAAAGCACAGCCTTAGTTTAAGCCCAAGTCTAGAGTGTGGATATTGTGGGATGTGTGTTACAGTCCATTTATAAAAAGGCATGCCACAATGTGGACTGGAGCCTATGATTTTCTACAGAGTTTTCCCTGCTTAAAAGAGAAGTATGGCTTTCCTTTTTGCTTAAGGGAGGTGAGGAGAGCACTCAGCTTGTCACGATGCCTCCTTCCTGGCTTTAGAGTGAGCATATGTTGGAAATGGAGACATGTGAAAAGCATGCACACCGTAGCTTGCTGCTGAAGTGTGTGCCAATTCAACAAGGGCAGCCACATGTCCAAGGGAAGGTGGGACTGAAAGAAGGGGTGGATTGCCGGAGTTGTATCCACCCCCTCCAAACATTCAAGCACAGAATAGTCCATTACTGGCTCCTTCCTGACCCTTCAAGAGCCCATATTGAAAACACTAATGGACTGAGGAAGGGAAGAAAAGGCATGGATGTATTAGGGTAATATGTACTGTTTATTTTTGCTTTCCCATACTTATCCTGTAACATGGCAGAAAGACTGGAGGAGAGGCCAGTCAGAAGACTTTGCTAGTTCATGTAATTGGGCTCTCCCAATTTTTTTTTCCACCTTCATTCATTTAAAAGCATATAATAGCACTCAGTTGGTTTCAGAGTCCTAAAGTCAGAGTACTCAGCACATTTGTAAAGCAAATTCCTATACTTTATAAAACATGTTCTTTTTTTTTATCAGTACCAGTGATTATGCGCTGATCTTTTTTTTTGGGCCACTATTTACATATGAGATGCTACCAGGATTGAGCTTAATAGGGTAGGAATTTGTGCAGAGCAAGGATACTGAAAATTACTCAGGCATGTGCAGGTACAGTTGTTCTCAAAAGTTTGCATATCCTTGGAGAATTGGTACAGTATGTACCATTTTTAAAGAAAACATGAGTGAAACTTTTTTCGTATGGGATTCATATTCAACTGTAGGACATACCAGAATGGCACAATCATAAAACAAAATATGGCAACAAGTCTGCATACCCTTAGTTCATATTACTGTGTATTGCCCCATTTAGTATCACTGACAGCATGCAGTCTTTTGTAGTAGTTGTCTATAAGGCCCCAAATGCTTGCATGTGGTATAGCTGCTCATTTGTCTTGGCAAAATGCCTCCAAGTCATGCAAAGTCTTTGGTCTTCTTGCATCAACCTCATGTTTGAGATCTCCCCAGAGTGTCTTGATGATATTAAAGTCAGGAGACTGTGTTGACAACTCCAGAACCTTCATCCTTTTCTGCTGTAACCAATGGAGGGTCAACTTGGCCTTGTACTTAGGGTCAATGTCATGAGGGAATATCCAAGTGTGTCCCATGTGCAGAAGAATGAAAATTGCCAGTATTTTCTGATAACATGTTGCAATCATCTTGCCATCAACTTTCCCAAGATTCCATGTGCCTTTAGAGCTCATACACCCCCAAAATATCAGTGAGCCATCACCTGCTTCACAGTGGGGATGGTATTCTTGTAGCTATAAGCTTTGTTGACCCGTCTCCAAACATGCGCTTATGGTTGTGACCATAAAGCTCTATTTTGGCCTCATAACTCCAGATTACAGTGTGCCCAGAAGCTGTGAGGCATTTCAAGGTTTTGTTGGGCATATTGTAACCGGGCATTTTTGTGGCATTGACGCAGTAAAGTCTTCTGACTGGCAACTCGACCATAAGCTAATTATTGTTAAAGTATGGTGAGATTGTGCTCCTTGAAACAACCACACCATCTTTTTCCAGATCACCCTGTATTTCTCCTGAGGTTACTTGTGGGTTTTTCCTTGTAACCAGATCAATTCTTCTGGCAGTTGTAGCTGCAAACTTTCTTGGTCAACTTAACTTTGGTTGGTATCAAGAGATCCCTGAATTTTCCACTTCTTAATAAGTTATTGAACAGTACTGACTGGAATATTCAAGCTTTGGATATCTTTTTATGTTCCTTTCCATTTTTATAAAGTTTCATTACCTTGTTACCCAGATCTTTTGACAGTTCTTTTCTGTTCCCCATGGCTCAGTATTTAGCCTGCTCAGTGCATCCACGGTAGAGCTAACAAGATCATTGACTATTTATACACAGACACTAACTGCAATTTAAAAAGTCACAGATGTGGGAAATTAACCTTTAATTGCCGATTTAATAGTGGCACTATTCTAAACACATGGGTTGCCACGTCTGCTATTTCATCATGGACAGTAAGTTAGAATAAAGAGCAATTGTGAAATTCTGCATGAAACTGGGCAAATCACTGCAATGCTGTCAAAACATCGACCTTTGAGATGGATCTTCAGCTTAGGGAAGAGGGAATTTTTGGGGGTTGAGGTCTTCCTGATCTCTCATCATCTTCCAGTGATGTTCTTCCACTCTTGAACCACACGTGCCACTCAAAACACTTCAAATGATTCATTGCAGCATTATGCTAAACTTGCCTAATCATGTCAAACCTCTCTGACAGATTTGCCTAGTTTCACACAAAATTTCATGTTTGCTCTTTGTTCTAACTTGCTGTCCATGATGAAATGGCAGACATGGTAATGCACGTGGTCAGAATAGCACAAGTTGCACAGCTCCCGATATACACAAGACAATGTCTTTTCGCACACTGACTTATGAAGGTTGGTGTTCCCTGTGACTGTGCGTACAGCTACGTGCTGCCACCTGTTGACGTGTTACAAAACTAGTCTCAAAACGTTTTGATACCACCTCGTATTAGTAATTCCGAATGAATAATGTAAAAGGAAATTGATCTTAAATGTAACAATACAAAAAATTAAATTTTATAAAGGAGATGGAAAAATAAACCAATGACCTACTTAATAAGCCATTTAGTCCCATACAATTAATGTAATAGCCATGTACCTGGTTGCTTTTCTCAGCCTGATTATTCCTGTTGGAGTCTGGAAAATGGATATGGCAGCCAGTTTCCTCCATCACTTTCTTGATGTTGTTCCCTCCTTTACCAATGACATGTGAGTGCTCTGTGTGAGAAACGTCCATCTTCAATGTGACACGGTTACTCTATGGGAAAAGAAGCATTTTCCTGAGGATCAACCACAGTTTTACAGTACAATTATCATATGTATTACATATAGTAAACAAACAATTGTATATAAGATGAAGAACAGGGTATACGTCTAACGTGAAGAAAACAAATCAGGTGGACAATATTGCAATGAATAACAAAATAGTCATGGGGTGACTGTTGTATTCTAATATACACTATATACATAGCATAATATTTACTGTAATGCTTATATTCAGATGTGACAAACCATCTACTAACACAATTTAGAAAAACAGGCATTCTGACAAATGAGTCAAGTGATGCTCTATAGGCCACCATAAAAGCTAGGGTCTCACCTTGCCTTAGTCCTTATCAGTCTTCTGCTGGCAGTGATAATAAACAGCATAAGGATACAAAAGCTACAGTTTTCCTATGTACCAAAACTGGGTGAAGCTTTTATGGGGCAGGTTGGCATTCTGTCCATCCCAGGACAAACATGAGCTCTGCAAGCATGGCTTTTGCCAAGTATAGCTATGAGACAAGCAAATTCTACCTTAAAATTTAAAGCACTAGAGCCCCAGTTTGAATCCCGGCAAGGATGCTATTTGCAAGGAGTTTGCATGTTCTCCCTGTACTTATGTGGATCTCTTCTGGATATTCTGGTTTCTTCTCGCTCTCGAAAGACATTCTGGTTTTGTAACTTATGTGCCATTGATAGCTCCTGCGTGGGCGTACCTTTTGCCCTGTAGAGCACGGTTTTTCCTTTTTTTTATTTTGCTTTTTTTTTTATCTGTGCAATTGATAGCCCCTGCGTGGGCGTGTTTTATTGCCTTTGTTTTATATTGTTTAAAAAATTTATAAAAACCATTGAAATAGAAAGACATTCTGGTAGGTTTACTGGCTTCTGTCTAAACTGGTCCTAGTATGTGTATGTAGGATAGGGATCTTTGTTTAAGCTCCTTGAGAGGAGTGACTGATGTGAATGTACAGTATGAAAAACCACTGGGTAGATTGTCAGCACTATAAAAATACCTGTAATAAATAAATAAAATGGCCAACCCATCTAGTTAACACCTCAAATATATAATTCTTGTTTTAACACGTATTTAATGCCTTAGCACTGACAGTACACATATATGTGGCCCCACTGGACTGGGCTTTTTTTTGTGGGGCTGCATATATGTGTTTATGTCTTTGTCGCAACACAGAGTGTTTACCCGTGTCAAGCGTTTTGGGCGTTAATTTCATTGGCCAGAATAAATAAATGTTTGTGGTCATTCAAATAAATGAAAGCTCGACGTTTATGCATGTTTTTTTAATCAAAAAAGCACCATTGCTCCAGGACGCCCTTGGCAGTGGGTTTTTTTTTCAGCCACTAAATTCTCCTGCGACAAAATGCTGCTAAAAACCTGTGTGTGCATGGACACATAGGATAACAAGCAGGGGCGTTTAGAGTAGGAAAAAAAAAAAAAAAAAAAAAAAAACACACCTGATGCCCCTAGCAGTAGCGTCAAAAATTCTGAGTTTGCATGAGGCCTAGGTAATAAAGATTTATTCCATGAGAAATGTTTTACAGAGGGTTTTTTAAAAACAGCACAGCTGAAGCAGTCTCCTTTCAGCAATGCTGTCTCTAATTGAAACTCAGGATTGAGCCATGCAGTGGGAGAGTAGAAGAGAGAGTTCCTGATATACATTTTTTACTTGTTTGTGTAAATTAAGGCTTACACCTTGGAGCTCTCTAAACAAAAAAATAGGGAAACCATTGTATTTTTATTTTGCGAAAACAACTTTTGTTTTTCAGAACATAATACATTAGTGCAAATCCAGGAGTCATTTTTAGTTCTGAAACTGATACACAGTACTAAAAATATTTATATAAAACCCATTATATACATGCATTTTAACAAACCCAGATTGTATGGGACCATTAGTTTTTCTTGTCAGCAGAAGAGTGAGGTTTTGTCAAGGCTTGTTCTCATCACATCACAGTTTTTTTTTTTTTGTTTTTTTTTGGGGGGGGGGGGGGGTAAGTAACCCTGTCCCCACAGCATAAAAACATAAAGGAGGAATTACCAGTAGGGCATAGTTCACACTAGCCCCATCTATGAACAGCAATCTGTGGTTTAATGCTTCTCAGACTGCTGTAAAAACAGCCATTGGCAGGCATTCAGGAGATAATCTTGCAACCTCCTGAATGGCTAAATGATTAATGCATGAATCAAAAATTACTGAGCGCTTACAAAATATATAATTTAGCTATATAAGTTGAATTTTTTTATTTATTTTACAGTTTATAAACAGTTGATAATACTTAGAGCCAGCCCCACTCCAGGCAATATCTTTAATCAATAGAATGTCAGCTCCATTTACCTTTTAGCAGCAGCACTCTCATCATATCTTCTATAAAAGTTGTCCTTCAGAGCCTCTGTATTTGTAATTTCCCATCCAGGGTACCAAAACACTTGTTGCTGCTCTATCCTCAACAGGGTGAAAGGTCCCTTGACCATTCCTGTATAATCTGATCAGCAATCTTGCTTGCCAGTCAGTGTGGAAGGGAACCTTGTGTGCTATTCTAATAGCACAGGAACCACTTGCCTGTCTCTGATAATCTCCACCCACCCCTTGTGTCATCTAATTCTAGTCTGATCAGAAATTTTGCTGACCACATCAGCGTGGAAGGAACTGGAAGTGGTACTATTCTAATAGAGCAGGAACTTTCTACCAGTCTCTGCTAACTTCCACCTACCCCTTGGGTCATCTAATCCTAATCTGAGCTGCATCATGGCCACATCACAACCTCACCATGTCAGTGTGGAAGAACAGTGAGCGGTACTACTTTAACAGAGCAGGAACATGCTGCATATCTCTACCCCATTGCGTCACCTAATCTTAGTCTGATAAACTATTTTACTGCTGACCTCATCACATCACTGTAAAAGGAAAGGAACAGTGGGTAGTACTTTTCTAGTGGAACAAGAACTTCATGGTCAACTGTGTTGCTTTGGCTATTTTATTGTTTTTTATAGCATGAATATGGAACCTTTCAAGACCACCTATTGTTTAGGAGCTAAGATTCCTCTATTCGTGTGCTAACAAACCTGATGGACTGGTTCATGAGCTCAGAACAGGAAATTATCCTACAGGAAGTAAGCGGAAGGTAAAGAGGACTTGAACAAGTCATGTGCTGAGGAACAAAGCAGTTAGTTATTTTGCAGGACTCTGAGAAGCAAGGAGCAGTTTGAGATCATAGATAAAGGAAGAATCACTAGAAAGAACCAAGTTAAGTAACTGTTTAGGGTATACCTATCACATACATTGTACATACTTGTTTTTTTTTTTTAGGAAGGATGGATTGCTTGTGCATGTTGTAGGCATATTTTGTCATGCGTTGTTTTACCTACGAGTATAGCATTTTTGCTTAGTAAAGCAAATATACACTGCAGAGGTTTTTATGCTTCCTTGTTTATACCGCAAAGAACCTTAAAAGACAAAGCAGAAACCGAACTCTATTTATCTCTCCACACCCCCTTGTGCCATGTAATCCACTTTAGACTGCCCCACTGAATGACCAGAATTGTCATTACCATCCACAAGCATGATAGTATATGTAGCTCTATGTGACAAAGAGAGAAAGAGAAAGGAAGTGACATGTAGTACCTCATTACCCTCCCACTTTGCCCAGTCATACAAATAAATAAAAAAGATGATTGATTACATCAGATGTAGTTTTATATATTTTTTTTACAGTGATTTCACTTTTATTGAAAAAACAGATCACAGTTAATATGAGGAGAGAAGAACATTTGGGAGGCCTGTTGTTTTTAACCTGGGGATCAAGTGTTAACTTACTTTTGTATCCAAAACAGACATTATTCGCTCCTTTGCTTCTTTTACATTTTCTCTCTTTCCGGACACTTTAATGTGGGGATCTGCAAATAAAATACAAATTGTAAATAAGTGTTTGTGTGCAAAGAAATTAGTTAGGGTTGACTGAAAATTCATAACAAGAACAGAACAGCCTACACTAATTACAAAGCGTTCAATAAAAATTGTAATTTTACAAATGCTAACTACATGGCATTCATGGAAATTGAATGGTTTTAATACATCTGTGTCAGAGACCTGGGAAAGTATGCAGATCAAGAGAATTACTTCAGTGGCTGCATGCTGGGACAGCGACTCAAAGACTCCAGAGCCAGATACAGTGAGACAAGAATTTCAGAAAGAGGTTGGCAGTAGCAGCCTATATACTACTCTTAAAAAAGTTAGAATTGAGGTTCCAGACAAGATCATTAAAATAGACAGGATTTTTTACGTTTTGGGTAAAGTGTGGAAGGACTGAATCCTCTGCCAATTTTTTCTTTCATTGAACTCTGTCTTTATTAAGGAGATTGATCTCCCTATGGTCCATTCTTAACCACTGTCACAGAGACAGAAAGTAGGCGAAATCCTACATTTTAGAGTCATTATAAAGGTAATTTGGGAAAAATATTCCGATGACAATGAAGATGGGAATTCCCATATTTTGGGAAGATTTCCTCTTACTTTCTATTGTGTCCCCAGGACAGGATGTGAGGAGAAATCTCCTTAGTAGGAAAACTGTATTACCCATATTTACCCAATTTATAATTTTTTGTTAGATTAGGAAACTTTTGAAAGTCTACGGCACTCTTTGTAGCATAAATTATCTGAGATTGGGGAAATCCATCACACAGGTTAAATTTTTTGGAATGGACACTATTGTTTCCCAATATGAGCACTCATGTATGCCACAGTTGTTCAGCAATGAGCTTCTCCAGCTGCCATTTCATATTATTAGGCAGCTTTATTACAATCATTACACCATTTCATTGTAGATGCAGAAATTGCACTCCTCACATACCTATCAAAACAAGAGGAATTTTGTACAAATTCGGGGGGGGGGGGGGGGGGGGGTTGAAGGTGAATACATAGCAAATTAATATTTTTTTAGTTGATACTAATAATTGGTACATCGCCGATGACCTTATCAGGTGTTTACATTCAAGGTTTCAGTAGAGAACTTCTTCTTTAAAGCAAGCATCAAAAGATTACACACACACAATGTGGGGGAAGCACAGTGGCTAAATGGTTAGCACTTCTGCCTGGCAGTACTAGGGTCGTTGATTCAAATCCCAATCACGGCACCACCTGCCTGGAGTTTGCATGTTCTCCCTGTACCTGCGTGGGTTTCCTCAGGGTACTCCAGCTTCCTCCCACACTCCAAAGACATGCTGGTAGGTTAGTTGGATCCTGTCTAAATTAGTCCTAATATGTATGAATGTGAGTTAGGGACCTTAGATTGTACACCCCTTGGGGGTTAGGGACTGATGTGAATGTACAATATACATGTAAAGCGTTGTGTAAATTGACGGCGCTATATAAGTACCTGAAATAAATAATAAAGTAAAATAAAACTAATGTAGTAGTTATATAAGGGGGGCAATTGTGGTTGCTGTTATGCTGCTTCAGACCTTTCAAATTCCCACAAAAATAGTCCAATTATAGTTTTAAAAATTGAGTTTAGAAGTACCTTATATTCCAATAAACTGTGAAAATGTTTTTATAACACCGGAGTGGAAACAGCTTGTGCATATATACATTAATAAATAAACGTACAATGATTGCATTTGTTTCCATGGATGATCAAACATGTTATGAGCAGCAGTCTGTGGCTCAACTACCTAGGGCCCCTTAACAGTTTTCACATGCTATGCCCAATTCCTTAAAGCTTATATATGAGCAAGGTTCTAGTCTTCAGCATGACCTAGCCATAAACATGACCTGACAACTGAACATAAGCAAAATAAATCATTAACAAAAGGACAAGAACTAACGCAAACTGACAACTACTATGTACGGACTTCAAATTTAACCACTTGCTCACCACCTTATAGTAGAAGTACTGCTACAGGTGGCAGGACTGTAAAAAATCACACACACACACACACACACACACACACACACACACACACACGATTTGCATTTCCAGGTAGGGAGAGTTCGCCGCCCTACCCGTGCCGCCATTGGAGGCTGGGGATGTCAATCACCAGGTCCCAGCTAGAGATTCCTCTCTCCTGCCAACAAGGACACGATGCTTTGTATTTCTCTGCACAGCAGAAAAATACAAAGCAGCACTGTCTCCCTAGTAAAAAACACACACAGCACATAATGTAAAACAGCACACAGTTAACCCTTTGATCACCCCAGATGTTTACCCCTTCCTGCCCAGTGTCATTAGTACAGTGTCAGTGCTTTTTATTAGCAGTGATCACTGTATTAGTATCACTGGGATGTTCAGTGGCAGTTAGTCAGTTCCCACCCAGTGTCAGAATGCCTGCCTTAGTCCCTCTATAAGTCGCTGATTGCCACCATTACTAGTATAAAAAAATAAAAATTCCAGTATATATACCGCCATTTGTGGATGCTATAACTTTCACGTAAACCAATTAATATACACTTATTGGGATTTTTTATTTTGTTTTTTTTAGCAAAGACATGTAGCAGAATACATTTTGGCCTAAATGTATTAAGAAATTTGATTTTTTTAATTTTTTACTGGATAGGTTTTACAGCAAAAAGTCAAAAAAATTTTTTTTTCAAAATGGTTGGTCTTTTTTTGTTTATAGCAAAACACATAAAAAACACAGAGGTGATCAAATACCACAGAAAGAAAGCTATATTTGTGGGAAAAAAATGACAAATATAATTTATGTACAGCGTTGCAAATGTCAGTTAAAGTAATAGCGCCCCTATTGCAAAAAATGGCCCGGTCAGGAAGGGGTATTAATCCTCTGGAGAGCAAGCGGTTAAAAAAAAAATTGCTACAGTTTAGTCCTACTGCTAACCCCCAAAATGACAAAATACAATAACTGTGTTGTATGTTTACATTACTACATCCTTCTAACAAATGTGAATCTGTTCAAATTACAAGTTTCTGCAAGTCAAAATGTTAGTTTTCCATTGATTAATTATATACTCTTGATGTGCTAAATGCTGCCCATCTTCCAGGCATTTCTCAAAATTAAATGGGCTAGATAAATGTGTAAATTAATAAAATTTAAACCCAATCTAAAAAGCTTAAACCTGAAATTACAGTTATGTCAATGTAGATGCTAATATACACATTATACAATTTACACAAAAACAGCAAAATATCCAAAAAGGTGAGAACGTTATTAGGAATTTTAAATAAAACCCAATACTAACCAAGAGTAAAGTACATATAGAAAAATACACAAGCAGAAATAGCAAAAGCAGAGCTGATTAATGTAAAGTAATTTTGAAGAGACATTAAATGCATATAATACTTTAGTTTTACATACCAGTTTCAAGTACACAGTGCTAAGCCATAAAATGGCATAAAAATGTAATAGGCCAGAATGAATCCTTCTAAGACATTTAGCCCTCCTAATGAAAAGCAGAAGTGGAATTTTTAAATAGCAAGAACCTAAATCTGAATTATTCATATCATGGGCTTAAAGTGCAGGTTTTAAAATTCCGTTGTGTATTCTTTACATGATCGGTCATTTGAAGTAATTTAGTCTAGGATGTACTGGGAACATGTACAAAGGGACATGCTATTTCCACTTGTGTTTAAAGAACAGAGATCCTTTCTGCCAGGAGAGGAATACAAAAATGTATAGACACTTGACGCAGCCAGCAAAGGTTCAAAGGCTTGCATAGATGCTAAATCTCCTAGATGTCAAAACACAAGAAATTATTACAAATGCTTTAAAACTTTTTGTGCACGTTCTGTTTCAAACAAAATCTACAGTGAGGCTAACCACAGATAACACACAACTGTGTAGCGAAAGACATGCCCTCCTTAATAGAAATCCACTAAGAAGTAAATTCCAGGCAAATATCATATCTTGTATATAAACTCATTCTGCGGCCTCTGCCTACCTGCTGAGGGAATGTAGGTTGTGCGGCTTTTTAAATCCCTACACTGCCAGTGATACTAATTTTAGGAATGACCATGAATATAATGCTGAGAAAATAGTAACCACAATGTTACTAGATTAGATGTACTGGACATTATAAGACTCGCATTCAAGGACATTTGTACTGGGAAAAGAAGGCGGCTATAATTGCCCAATTTTCTTTACTAAAATGTCCACTTTCGGGTTGCGACATTAATACGAAATTCAATATCTTGAGCCACTAACCCAAAATAATAAATAAAGCTCTAGAAACAATGAAACCAGCAAAGATTGAGTACAACTGCATTAGAACAGAAAAGTCAGACTAAATTAAATTTAATTAAAATTATTTACAGGTAGAACTGCTTTCGCTGTTCACATGCTCTGTGCTTCACAACTTCCCTAATCAAAAAGAACCCAGATAAACGCTACAGGGCTAACAGAACTAACTCCCAGGGCCTGGGTTCTATTATAAATATCCCTAGGAAGGGACGCATTTTCCAAGCAGTAATGGGTTCATGGAAAAAACCATATTTATTATGTTCAAACATACTAGCAATAACAAATAACGCATTCTGATTGATTTAGGTATTTTTAATAAATTATTCAGGTAATCGGAATTCCCTCAATAGTGGAGTAATCTATCATTTTCTATAATACATTTTTCAATGGCAATCGAAAATATTATATGCACCATCAAAGAGAACAAAAAAGCCTCTACTGTGAGGACTCAGAATCAGGGATGGTAACAGAGGCCTTGGGCATGGTGTGAGTTGGAGGCTTAGATAGGTCAGAACTAAACTCTCTGTGGAATAGTGTAGAAGTGTGCTTCAAGTCTCTGCAAGAAGACTGCCTTAGTAATTGGGCGAAAACAGTCAAAGTCCAAAGTGGACACCAAGGTTTCCTTGTGGAATGGGGGGGGGGGGG